CAGGTGTACCTTGGTGGTGCACTGGCGCACGGTGTTGATCAGCTCCTGGATCACCAGGTCCACACATTTCAGGCACGGCTCCTTCAGCTTCACCACCTGCTTCTTGACAATGGCCTCGAACGCCAGGTCTGGGGTGAACAGCCCCGTCCTGGGGGAGGGGACAGGTGAGGGGGGACAGGTGAGGGGGGACAGGTGGGATTGGGATGGGATTAGAGAAGGGAAATGGGGCCAGGGAGGCCCCCAGGGCCTGGGTTTGGGAATTCTGCCCTGGAATAATCCAGGAATACTTGCCTGACCCCGTGGATGTTCTTGATGGCGTAGCTGATCTCCCTCCTGAGATCCTTCTCATCAAATTCCATCTGCAGGGAAAGGGAATTGGGAATGGGGATGGGAATGGGGAATGGGGAAATGGGAATGGGGAATGGGGAATTGGGAATGGGAATGGGGAATTGGGAATGGGAATGGGAATGGGGAATGGGGAATGGGAATTGGGAATGGGAATTGGGAATGGGGAGTTGGGAATGGGAAACTGGGAATTGGGAATGAGGAATGGGGGATTGGGAATGGGGAATTGGGAATGGGGAATGGGAATTGGGAACTGGGAATTGGGAATGGGAAATGGGAATGGGGAATTGGGAATGGGAAATGGGAATGGGGAACTGGGAATTGGGAATGGGGAATGGGAATTGGGGAATGGGGAATTGGGAATGGGGAATGGGGAACTGGGAATTGGGAATGGGAAATGGGAATGGGGAATTGGGAATGGGGAATGGGGAATGGGGAACTGGGAATTGGGAATGGGGAACTGGGAATTGGGAATGGGGAACTGGGAATTGGGAATTGGGAATGGGAATGAGGAATGGGAATTGGGAATGAGGAATGGGAATTGGGAATTGGGAATGGGAATGGGAATGGGGAACTGGGAATGAGGAATGGGAATTGGGAATTGGGGAATGGGAAATCAGGAATGAGGACTCAGAAATGGGGAATCAGTCATCAGGAATCAGGAATTGGGAATCAGGAATGGGGAATGAGGATTTGGGATTCAGGATTTGGGATTCAGGATTTGGGATTCAGGATTT